CCATTGAATTTTCCATCGTTTGCCAAGCTCCTTTCTCATTACTCTCCCTCCCGTCCCCGCCCCGAGCCTCTTGCGGCTTATGCAACATGCTAAGCATGTTGCCAGATCATTTTACGGGGTCAAGTATGTCATAGCATTTAGCCCTTGGCCCAAATATGACTTTTGGAGAGTTCCACCCCTCACAATATCTAAAGAGGCTCTTCCTCTTAGCTAAACACCTTCTTGTATTTTTATAACAGAACTCCACCACCATCTCAAATGAAAGTTTCTTTGTGTAATGTATATTGCCTTCATCTCTTCTAGAATGTAAGATCCACAAGGGCAGGGGTCTTGTCTGTTTTGTTCTGTTATATCTTTAGGGTCTGAGTGACTCAATCAAAAACGCTGAATGAACAGGAGGCAGAGACAACGGACTCATCAGCAATAGAGTTCTCCTGGGTCCCAGGTCCCCAACTAGCTGTGTACGAAGAAAATTGCACTTGGCACCATACAACCTTGAGCTGAGTGTTCTGCTGTGCTTCTACTCACCCTTAATTTGTATTTCCCCAGGGACGTTATCTGACTGGAGTATCTGAGCACCATTGTATAATGAGTAATGCTATGACAAGAGTTTGTACCAGCAACCTTAAGAATAACTGTGCTCTCTCGTGTGCAGTTCATATTTAGCTGCCTTCACTCTTTGCAAGTCCCTGGCAAAACAATTACTTTAAAAGTAAAATGAAATGAATAAATGCATATAAATCGGTTTTTGTAAAAAAAAAAAAAAAGAAGTGGCTGGATGGCCACTAGGGGGCTCCTTTCCTCGGGAGATGGCTGTGGGGCTTGGAGGGTCCTGGGATTCTCCGCAGGCCTGGGTAGGCACAGTTCCTGGAGCACAGAACAAATGCAGTGGGAGCCGTCAGCAAGGTGGTGAGTGGGGAGGGTCTGAGCATGCTCCAGTAGTTTCCTTAAAAATCACAGGTGGAAGTCAGTTTCATTTATAGGCTACCTCTTTCCTGACAAATCAGCATTTTAATTTTGGCCCTATATTAGTAATATTCCCTCAGCAAGCTACCCACCTCTGCCTCACCTACCTCTACCTCACTGTCAGGACCATGGCATGTGTCCATCCCACTGTCCATCCTGTGATGGCTTGTTGAGGGTTTGTCCAACCTTATATGAGAGCATCCTATGAATATTGCATTGAGGAGTGGAGTGTGTGTGTGTGTGTGTGTGTGTGTGTGAGAGAGAGAGAGAGAGAGAAGGGGGAATGAGAGAGAGAATGAGAGGGAGCAGATGAAAACATGAATTTAATTTCTTTATTGGTAGTGAAATATACATTCCACTGAAGTCCCTGAAATTTCACATGCTAAATTATAACCTTTGCTGTTTCCTGCCCTTTGACTATGGACAATACTGCCCTTCAGGGATGTAGACTCTCTGAAGTGAGTTGTGTGCCAGGGTCAGGGCAGGGGAGCCCATATGGATGGGTGAGGACCAGGCTTTCGTGTACTTTAGGCATTCTGTTCTGGGGTCGCTACATTGTTCCAGTCTGTGGTTCTTGGTGTCTGTCTATACCACTCTCCCTGTGATCATGTGGCTCAGAACCTAACCCTGGTCCCCAGCATTCCTCTGGGCTTTAACGATGCCACTGTCTACCTGCAGTTTTTCCAGGTGCCACCCTGTGTGGAACTCGTTTCCTTCTCTTTCGGCTGGGCTGTCTGACCCAGAGCCCCAGGCTTGGCTTCCCCGAACCTGAAGGGTACCTCTCCATGGTGCTTAGTCTGAGTGTGCAGGGTTAGATGATTCAGGCATCAGAGTGCCTGGGTTCAAAACTTGGCTCCCCTGTGTGACCCTGTGCCTGTTATTTGTCCTCTCTGGGTTCGAAAACCTATAAAGTGAAGTTCACAATTGAATGTATATTGAGTTATTAAGTGACATCATATGCATAAAGCCCTGTACATAATGTCTGGCCCATAACAAATGCTTCAAGTAAATTCACCCAACAAAGGAAAGGCTGAGTTTGAATTAAACTTGAATTTGTAAACTTCATTGGATAGCCTATAAATACATAAGCCATTACAGGCTGGCACAGATTATTATGAACAATATAATGGGCTGCTCAGCATGCTGAGTGCAGGGGGAACTCCCAGTGACCCCAGTTTAATACCGTTCTTGCTGATTGCTTGACATTTCCAAGAATAGCGTTAATTAACCTTACCCTTGTCGGTGACTTTATCGCTGCTCTGCATATTCTCTGTGGAGTTTCTTCCTTGTATAACATTTGTCCGAGCCAATGTTGAGATAGCTCACCACTGTTTACTAGCTTTCTAATTGGGAAACATCTGTATATGCACATGTATGTGTATATCTGTATATACACATATATGCATCTGTATATGCACATGTATGTGAATATATATATATATATTCACATGTATTTGGCAGGAGCAACAAGACTCTTTTCTATGAAACTAAATGGTTTTTCTCTGATGAGTAACAAAACTCATCATTAGGAACTTCCTAAGTCCAAACTGCAGATCAATGTAATATATGTTAAACTGGAACTGCTTCCCAATATGTTTTTTTCCCCCTAGCTCACACCACACACACACACACACACACACACACACACACACACACACACACACTCACACACACAGTTTTATTTATTTATTTGTATTTATGTATAGGTATTATTTTTTACCTGTGCTAATGTACCACTGCAAAAAAAAAATACAGGAAAAAAGATTCAGAAAATATCAATTTAACTCCTATTTCTGCTACTTATATACTGTGGGGATTTATACGCTGAGACTCAGTTTGTATAAAATAGGAATAGTTACTGATGACTCACACAGACTTGCTGAGGACTTGCAGGGTGTCAGGAAGTATGCTCAGGTCATCATGAGGATTAAGTACATGAGATAAATATGTACAAGTGTATTTACAGATCGAAAAGTAAATTTTCGAATATTAAGTATTGCCATCTTTATTATAAGCATAGTTAAACAGTTATATGTGTAAAACAAGTTCTATTTATTTTCCGAAGCAAAAGTGAGGCTACATGATCAAACTTAAGGTAAAAACAAAAAGGAAAAGTGCCAACAAAGAAGTGCTGTTTGTTGGCCAGGTGCTGTGGTCCGGGCACTGCGCAGTGTATTTTCCTGTGTTACTCCCTGTTCCTATGCGTCTGGTCTCCGGAGGCAGACTGTCTGGGTTTGAGTACACTTAATTGCACGAGAACCTCCCCTGGAACGGTCCGTTGAGGAAAGCCTGAGTTCCCTGAGGGTCTGCCCCACTGATGAAAACCTCCTTCCCTTTTAAAAGCATGATCCCACCTCTCTGTAACTCAGTTGCCCTAATGCTGAGCACAAGCAGCTTGTCTGACTTCCCTACGTGAGCCTTCAGTTGTTCCTATCACCTGTTTCTACCGAGCACCTTCAGTTCCTGACGCGTTCCCTATGTGACCTGACTTCTATTCTGGAGAGTCTCCTTCGGGTGAATTCTCTCTTCTGCTCAGTGTCCCATTAAAGGCAACCAAGTATACCACGGGCTTGTGGATTCGTCCAGTACGTGGGCAGGGGTGCCGTCTTTCAGATGCCTCTTTCTGCTGCATAGACGAGACTTGTCCTATGGCGACTCAAGGCTGAGTTTCCATGTAGCAAAACAGAAAGGCACCAATCTTAATACTTTAATTCATCAAATCATATGTGACAATACAGTGACCTTTGTACTGATTTTGGAGAGGGAGGAGTAGAAATTGCTATAGTCTTAGTCTCAGAAATCCTCCTTTTGTTATTATTTTTGTCTTTACTGAGAGAAGAGTATTTGTTACTGTCATTTTTCAAATTCAATTTCATAAACTAATTCAATAAACAGTTATTTTTCTAGGACAGAAGAGCTAAAAATATCTTCAGTTCATCTCCTCACAAAATGCCTTTGATTTTAATGAACTCAGACAGTAAGAATCAAGAAAACAAAAGCAATTATGCATTGCATCATCTGAGTTTTGCTCATAGTTAACAGCTATTCTTGGACTAAATATCTGCCACCTGGTGGTTCTTATGAGAACTGTTAAGCTACTTGAGCCACTGTAGGGTTCAAATATACCCTATTCCATTCATTCATTCATTCATTCATTCATTCATTCATTCATTCATTCAATAAATATACTAAAAGTGCACACACTTGTGTGGAATAGACATACTTACAGAATTCTTTTGGAATAAATAGTTTCTATAATGAATTTGGCTATGTTTAATCATCTTCATTGGCAGTGAACACCATGTAATTTGGGCAAAAGATCCTCAAAGGAGATCCCAAGCCATATTAAGCGAGAAACCCTTGAAAAATTGTTTATATCTAAGTATTTTTGGTCACAAAGTTCTCTCTGTCTGAATAGTTCTTTCTTACTCACCCATAAATCAGCCTGGTGACACACTCTGTCTATGGGAATTGGCATACCTGACCCTCCCCTCATTAGTGCTTTCTCTGTACTGGATTTTTTTTTTTTTTTAATGAAATTGTCTTGCTCTGCTAGACTATAAGCTTCTTTCAGAGAGTACCACATTGTTTTTTGAGTCCCCGACTTAGTTTAAGGTGATTAGTATGCCCCAGGAATGCTCAATTGAATAACTCCAACCTAAATCTATAGATAACTATATATAAATGTTTCAAAACTATACAGGGCAAAGGAACCACCTACATGAAATAGAATTCAAGCTACCTGTTAATTCAGATGTGAAAAACTACATCTCTATTTTCATTGACTTCTAACTGAAATTTGCTGTTTGTTTGTTTATTTATTTATGAATATAAGCAACAAACCATAGGAGTATTAGCAGAATTAGCAGTGTCTGTGACCTTGTCTCCTATAAAAATGACAGATATTTTCATATCTAATTGCAGTTGTTAAATATATCTCAAAGTGTTGTTTATGTTCAACATCATTTGTAATTATGTTGTTTATTAGACCTGCTATTAGGTCTTATTATTTAACTTATCAATAAAAAATAACTAGCTTTGCGCAGTGGCAGTATTGTAGCCAATGAGGTTTATCCGAGGCGCGATTATTGCTAATTGAAAACTTTTCCCAATACCCCGCCATGATGACTTGAAAAATAACTATATTACTGTTTTATTGATTTGTTTTTTTAAAGTATTTTGGGAACTGTTTTCCTTGGTAATCTTACATATTTTCTTTTATGTTTTTAAAAATTTTATTCTGAGAAAGGAGTAGATAGACTTAAATAGACTAAAAAAGTGGTACAAAGAATATTAAGAACATCTAGCCATGTTCTAAATATTGACCATAAGCTAGCCTCCAAGAAAAAGAACCCTCCAGAGTTAAATGACTACCTGTGGGTACAGTAAGCTCTAAGTTTTTCTCCTCAAGATCCAAATGTCCAGTGACAGTTTCTTTTGGCGACTCAAAGACCAGAATGGTCAAATCATTTCCCCTCTCACTCCCCGCACACACGTTAGTTGTCCCTTCCAGCCACTCCTCCCTTCAAGTTCCGGCTGCAACAAAACGCAGAGGCAAACAGAAGGGAGAGGCAGGGCAGGGGACAAAGACCACACCTTGTTTGTGTTGGAGACAAAGAACCTGACCCTGGGACATATCCTCCAAGGCCCTCTGCTGAAAGATGTAGAAGCAGCAGCTTGGCCTGAAGTGTGTGTAATGGAAGCGTTAGCTGGTCAGCTAGGACGGTGGGATCAGAAAACCGAGAACCCCAGCCGGAAAGGACGAAGGCTGTTAAGAGTTGAAGGGGTCTAGAGAAAGCCTCATCCTTCCCCCAGGAAATGCCAAAATCTCTGTTAGGTGTGGAATTTCCACTTTAGCATCCAGTTCCAACCCGTTAAAAAAATCACAACTCTGTTGAGGTAGATATAATGGACATACACCCAACTGTATATATTTAAAGTACAGAATTTGATATTTCCCAATGTGCATATCCCCATGACACCATCAGCTTCCCCCAAACCTCCATATGCCCCTTTTGTAACTAACTTCTCTCTTCCGAAGATGCCACTCTCACTCTGTCCTCAGGCAACCACCGATCTGTTTTCCGTCACTAGAGTTCGTTTGCATTTTCTAGAATTTTATATAAATGCAATTATATAATATATTTACCCTTTGGTCTGATTTTTTTCCCCACTCAACATAATTATTCTGAGATGCATACAACTTGTTGCATATATTAAAAGTTCATTTTTTAAAACTGAGTACTATTCCATTATATGACTATATTGCAATTTGTTTATTCACAGACTAATAGATATTTGAATGGTTTCCAGTTTTGGGGCTATTACAAATAAAGCTGCTGTCAACATCTGTATACACGTCTTTGAGTGGATATATGCTTTCATTTCTCTTGCATAAATACCCAGGAGAGGAGAGTATAAATCACACAGACTTGCCTGTTTAATATTTAAAGAAACTCTCAAACTGCTTTCCAAAGTGGTTACACAAGGATTTTAGTTCCTTTAATTCCCATGACCACTTGATACGATGTCTGTGTAGTAACTTCTTACTGTGGCTTTAATTCACATTTTTTTCTGATGACTAATGTGGACTATACATTGCTGCACTTATTTGTTATCTGTGTATCTTGTGCGGCAAAGTTTCTGTTCAAACGTTTGGCCCATTTAAAATTGGTGTTTAGTTTTAGTTTTAAAGTTTTGTTGTTTGTTTGTTTGCTTATTATTGAATTTGGAAACTTCTTGATATATTTTGGATATAAATTCTTTATGAGACATGCAATTTGTAATACATTTTTCTAGGGTGTGGCTTGCTTTTTTATTCTCTCTCCAGATCTTTGTTCTTTCTCTCTGCGTGTAGCGTTCTCCCCTTTAGTGCTCTGTCCTGCAAACTACGTCTGTTCTGACAGCCTCAGACTCTCAGCTCCCGAAGTCCTGCTCTGTCTTGTGTCCCCTTCTGCATGGCCTAGAAACCCTCTCAAAGAAGTGAGCTGGGTGGTTGTGGGGCTGATCTCATTGCTTTCCATTTCTCAGGGTTTATCGTCCTTCTTTGCCTCGTCCCATGTCTTGAAAACGATGGCTTCATATCTTTGTTCAACTTTTTGATTGTTTCAGGCAAGAGAATAAATCTGGACCTTGCTATTTTACATTGGACAGAACCAGAAGCCTTGAGGTGTCACAATGTACCCCTGGCAATGGATTCTAGAGGCTGTTTTTCTACTCATGTGTCTCTGCTATTTTGGCAGCTGCCCCTCCCCCCATCCCTGTTACCGTTAAATGGGAATTGCTTTTAAAAGCCTTTTAATCTGCAAAGTCCGTCTGCAGTGGCAGCTGAAACTGGAAAGTGATCCACTTCTTGCGCTCTTCGGCAGAGCTACGTGTATAATGCCACCAACAGTCTCCTGGACGGCAGTAGCCAATGAATTCATCCTTTGCTATCTGGGTCTGTAGGGAGGGAAGGGATATGAGAGACATAAAAGAGGGGGGAGGGAAAGAGACTGCTCTGATCCACCCGCCGTTTGGGCATGAGTGTTTTCTCTGACCAGAGGAGGATCTGGTTGGAGCTCCAGTCTTTGTTGTCGGCAGATTCTGTACAGTGCGCCTTCGAAAATTTGGTAGTCCTGCCAAACACTGTAATGGCTTTAAAAAGAAGCAGTTATGTGACTTGGACTGTTCAAAGGTGCTTTTCAGTTCAACATGTGCTCAAAGGATGTGTGTTAAGCATAGCGGCTACATTGCTATGCATTTTAATTTGATATCCCAAATTCTTAGCATTCAGCACTTCTTAACCATACCCTCTTTGCTGTCTTGTCCTAGAGCTCATCTTCAAAGAAGGTGAAGTTTTGGTTAATCATTGGGGATGTTAGACTAAAGTCATTACATTGTCTTTCCTTTCGCTTTTTATCACACATCTAATTTTAGAACATCCTGACATTCCCTACTATTCTTTTTAAACGCCATTCTTCTTTATTACTATGAATGTACTTAAGACAAGGAAAACCTGGGAGTGACTTGACGAATCATCACAGGAGGCTTCCACTTTGCATGGGTATGTTTTTTCCCGCTGGGACAATGCACCACAGTAAGCTGTGGGATGAAGGAAGGACACACGTTTCTTTTGTAAAGTGATAGAAAGGTAGGTTCTCAGGCAGGTCGGTTTCAAGGGGAAGTTGTGAATGTTGAGGAACTGGGAATTATTCTTTGAAATAGTCCTGCTGCTCTAACCCTTGGGACGATTCCACGTATTCACCCTGGTATCCAAGTTTGAAGAAAACAGCTCTCTCCAAGGCAGAGGTAGAGCGATGGGAACTAGCGCATGTGTGGGAGGCGCAGTGCATTCTTGCTGTGGGTAAGTCTGTATTTGTGAGATGCAAAGTCTGGAGCTCTGAGTTAGAAGTTGAGAAATTGGCCTCTGCCCCTCACTAGGAGTTGGATCGTGAACTAAACACTGCACATTCCCATCCATGAAATGAGGATACTTGAGTCTCTTCCAGCTTTAATACTCAGTGGCTAGAGGTTGATTGATGCAATTCAATCAGGTGGCATCTGGGTAGGTTATGGATATCCTGGAAGGTCAGAGAAAGAATTCTAGGCTTCTGCTGGGAATCACTGTCAACGATCTAGCTTGGTGAGAATGCATACCACCACGAGGCTCAAAAGCAACGGAAGGATCTGGCAATTAAAGGTCAGGGTCAGATATCCAGACTCTGGTCCTATTCGCTAGGGTGAGTAATTGGACGGAGATAATAATCACTAATATCTGCAATTTGGGGTCTATATTATTTAATCTTTATTGAAATATTCTAAAGAAAGTGAGTCAATTAGTTTCATTTTACATATTAGGAAACAGACTAGAGAGGAGTTAAGTGTGTTGCCCAAGGACACTGGGTAAAACTGAAGGGAAGAGCCAGGATTCAGATTCAGGGGCGTGTCTTACCCTAAGCTCCATGGTTTTCACAGCGAAATGAGTACAACTACTGCTTCAAGTATTTTGTTTTGTGAGCATAGGTTCGTGAATTTGAACAGGCCCTTGCTGTGCATTAAATTCTTTTAAATGACCTTGAAGCTTTAAAATCTAGACTTGAGATTTCAAGCCAGTGGCATTACAAATAAGGTCTGGGCTAGGCGCCTCTCGTAAACTCTACAAAGGAAGAAAAAAGGAAATAACTTTGGGATGTCATACACACAAAACCCAAATGAAGGGAAGATTTAGAAGAAATACGAGGATGGTTACAGACCAAATCATTATCACTGCTTTTCTGCTCAGTAAGAGACAAATACAAACAGCCTGTATTTGACAATCTTGCACGTAACTACAAGCATTTGAGCACAGATTTCTTATTTTACTGTTTCCATGACAACGCATGACCTTTTGCATGTTTTTCAAGGAAGGAAAGGTGAAAATTATTCTCCGCGTTAAATTGAATTTTTCTCTTTCTCTTCACTTATTTTTTTATAGACACTTAGAAAGTACAGCAATTTCACGTTCCTTTCAGAATTTTAGTGCCCTTTCCTACATTAGATGCAGCATAAGTGAATTCTAATTCAATTCCTTTTTCTAAGGCTAGTATTTCCAGAGAGAAAAAAAGTTTTCTTAAGGTTTCTTTAGGCAACAAGCAATATTCATTAAAATAGAGGTAGTTTCACAAAATTGCATTAATTTTTTTGTAACTTTTAAATTTGCACTATGTCAGTATTTTGGACACTCACCACTGCTAAATTTGGGTGTAGCCTTCTATTTGCTTTATGCAGAGTTTTTTGTTTTCCCTTTCTGTCTACTTGTAAACAATGAAATGAAGACGAGTCAATACAATATTGGGAAGGAATGGGTAAATAAATACAGAAACATTTTTGAAGTGATTTTTATTTGGAAAATAAAAAGGATTCTTTTAGAGTGAAAGATTTTGATGGTTTAAGAATTATTCATTTTGGGATTAAAAATCTTGATATCTATTGAATACTGGTCATTGTATTAGTCGGGGTTCTCCAGAGAAACAAAATCAATATGATGTGTATTTATAGAGAGAAAGACTTATTTTAAGGGCTAGGCTCGTGGTAGGTCCCAGATCTGCAGGCTAAGCCAGCAGGCTGGGGACCCAGGGAAGGGTCACGGTTTCAGTCCAAAGGCAGTCTGTTGACGGAAGTCCTTCATGCCGGTCTGTTTTATTAAGGCCTTCCA